TAAAAATAGTATGAAAAAAAACAACCACCCCCCCCCCCCCCACACACACACACACACAAAACTAAATTATCAAAATTGAACTCAAACGAAAATAATATAATTTTCATAATTTTTATAAAAATATAAAAATAAATTAAAAATATTAAAACAATAATAGTGTCTCAATTATACTAAAATAACACTGGTGTGTAATAATAAAAGATCTGTAATATTCTAGGCTTTTCCAATAAAGAACCTATTTGTGGTTCTTTTGATGGTAGGCTACTTATGACCAGTGTTGGGGAGTAACTAGTTACATGTAACTAAATTACGTAATTTAATTACAAAAGAAATGTAATTGTAATTAGTTACAGTTACTGATAAAAAAGTGTAATTAAATTAGTTACTTATGAAACTGTTAACAATTACAAAGGGGGTTATATCAGATTTTTTTTTTCCACACACACCCATTCAGATTTAATTGATTTCTTTTATAAATTGTAGTGACTGCTCTAAAATATGAGACAACAATGTTTCAGGAGTTTAGAACACAGAATAGGACACATGCTTATTCGTAACTGTTTTATTTACTATTTTGGATTTATGCATAGGCCTGTGCTTTATTTTTTAAGATTAACTGTTTTTTTTTCAAGGCATTGTTAGATGCCAGTTGTTTCCTGTCATAACTATGCAAAGATTTGATTTCAAAAATAGTATCATAGCTACTAAACTATTTCTTGTTATGCTTTCAAATCTGTATTAAACCTCAGAATGATCTCAAAGTAAGTCTTATTTTGTGGTAGTGTTTTAAAATTAAATGATCATAATCTTAGTTCAAGTGATGAAGGATTTGGAAAATGACACTAATCAGTGTTGAGTACTGTAAGGGCGAGCAGGCTACTGTATCTTACCTCAGCCAAACATTTAACCTTATGTTTTAGCTGTAAAATGATTTTCAAAGATTATTGGCGTATGCTTTACAAGAAATAGTATTATTTCTTTTTTTATTTCTATTAAAAAGTAACGTTTAATTCAATGTGTACTTGCCATTTCTTTGTAAGTATTTGTGTAATCTAGCAATTTTGAGCGAAAATTATTTCGAAATAAATACTAGGCCTATACCACTTTTTTCCCCTCCAGTCAGTGATAGAGCAGCATTTCCATAATGAAATAATACTGCCATCTGGTGATGTCAAAGCAGTTTAGTTGTTATCGCAGATATATCGCATGAACTAGACCAAATATAATGTATGCAGTTGAAAGAGCCAAGAGGTGAAAACTTTAAAAGACTTTTAATAACAACATCCTTTTTAACTGCTTCACGTCAGATCACTATTTCCTGGTGTATGTGCCCTAGTCCCCGGGCTTCCTTCCTTCTAGAAATCTTTTTCTCACGGCCCGCGCTGAAAAGGTGCGGTCTCTCTTCCCATCGTGAGAACTTTCACACGCGTTTGGCTGGCAGCCGTCCGCACCGTACTCTCGCGATAACAAGGGACCCGCTCTCATACGCTCCCATAATAAGCGACCGTGAATTCTCGCGTGACTTCAGAACTTTCCCACGCCTGTGCCCCCCCTTCCTGCATTATTTCTCACACTACCCCTCCCCCTCGTGTTGCGGTGTGGTGCGGAGCGGGGGAAGTCTCGCGATTGTTGGCGTTATTAGAGAGAGTTGGTGAAGATGGCGCCTGTTGTGACAGGGTAAGCAGCGAAATTATCAACGGACGGGGCATGGAAAAGTCACAGCTAAAATAAGTTTTGTCTGTTTAGTCAAGATTATTTGCTTGGGTTTATTTCTTTACACCCACGGCCGCGTGTCTCTGCGCTGTTGGCCTGTTTCGGCGTACTTTTGTGTGGTTTTTGAGGTTTTCAGCGACGGGCTCTTTTATTCAGTTAGCCGCTTAGCTTTTAGTTAACGTTAGCTGATACATTTTCAGCAGTTTTCCATAAACACTGTATACTGTGGAGAGCAAATCTTTAACTGTAAACACAGTAAGGTTGTATTAACGCCGTGTTTTGAATCTTTAACATTAACATTTAATCTTTAAAAATACTTGTATAAAATTTGAACCAACTTGTGTGTTGGTGTACGAGAGAGAGAGAGGGAGAGAGGGAGAGGGAGAGAGAGGGGTTAGCAGATGTTAGCCAGCCAAGTTAGCTGGTCTAACGTTAGTGGGTTCATAACAGAAACTGGGAGCTTTCGAGAGGACTCAAAACGTTCTCTTTGTTTCATGTCAGACTTCTCAGTTAAACTACTTTTAGCTTAAAAATTGTGTATTTGTAACGTCCCGTCATTTCTATGTAAAATGCTCATATCTATTTAAACTTTTATGCTAATTGTGGCTTGCATCTCAAAACCTAGTGAGCTGTCTAAATAGACAGATAGGGGCATCACATGCATGCTTGAACTTGTTTATCCGGCTCAAAATGCTGTGTTTCTTGGTAGACATATAACTAGGCTGTGACAGTTTTGTTTTTATTATTTTTGAGTGTGGATCAAAGTGATGTTTGAAGTTGTCTTATTTTGTTTTGTAGGAAATTTGGGGAGCTCCCTCAGCCAAAGCGTTTAACAAGGTAAAGGCACTGTTAAGTTCATGTGTAATATTTATTAAATATATATTAGGAAACAACTGCTTAAATAAACGTTTCTGTTGTATTTTGTGGGTTTGCAGGGAGGCAATGCGCAACTACTTGAAGGAAAGAGGAGATCAGACAGTACTCATACTGCATGCAAAAGTCGCACAGAAATCATACGGCAATGAAAAAAGGTGAGTGATGAATTTGATCTGTAAACACATGTATTATTAACTGTTTATGTGTGTTGTATACAGATAAGTCAGTCACAAGTGAGCCTATTAAGGTTAATACAGATTTCAGGTCTTATAGTGGATGATTAATCTGTAAGGAAAAATGTTTAGGCCTAGTCTTCACAAATTGTCACAGTCACTGTTTACATCTGGTTTTAACATCTGTCTTGAGTAATCGAGCATAAATGTTCAGCTGAGAGACAATGTTTACACCTGTGATTGGATTTCATTTGAAAGCTTCGACCTCTGAATTCATCCATATATGTATGTTGGTCATTGATGTCCTTTGCTTTTTTTTCCGAAATGCATTTCTGATTACTGTAAAAGGTGGATCTTAAACATTTAAGTGACCCCAATAGATGTTAATGGGGTCATAAATATGACTGTTTGCGCTTCAGACAAGTCTTGCACTACTCTTTTGCTTGTGGAATATCCTGTTTTACTTGTATATTTGACACATTTTGGAAGTAAAATGGATTACGTTTCATGTCGACTGTGAATCAAGCTTTGATAAGAGGGAGAGAGAGAGAGAGAGAGAGAGGGAGGGAGGGAGAGAGAGAGAGAGGGGTTAGCAGATGTTAGCCAGCCAAGTTAGCTGGTCTAACGTTAGTGGGTTCATAACAGAAACTGGGAGCTTTCGAGAGGACTCAAAACGTTCTCTTTGTTTCATGTCAGACTTCTCAGTTAAACTACTTTTAGCTTAAAAATTGTGTATTTGTAACGTCCCGTCATTTCTATGTAAAATGCTCATATCTATTTAAACTTTTATGCTAATTGTGGCTTGCATCTCAAAACCTAGTGAGCTGTCTAAATAGACAGATAGGGGCATCACATGCATGCTTGAACTTGTTTATCCGGCTCAAAATGCTGTGTTTCTTGGTAGACATATAACTAGGCTGTGACAGTTTTGTTTTTATTATTTTTGAGTGTGGATCAAAGTGATGTTTGAAGTTGTCTTATTTTGTTTTGTAGGAAATTTGGGGAGCTCCCTCAGCCAAAGCGTTTAACAAGGTAAAGGCACTGTTAAGTTCATGTGTAATATTTATTAAATATATATTAGGAAACAACAGCTTAAATAAACGTTTCTGTTGTATTTTGTGGGTTTGCAGGGAGGCAATGCGCAACTACTTGAAGGAAAGAGGAGATCAGACAGTACTCATACTGCATGCAAAAGTCGCACAGAAATCATACGGCAATGAAAAAAGGTGAGTGATGAATTTGATCTGTAAACACATGTATTATTAACTGTTTATGTGTGTTGTATACAGATAAGTCAGTCACAAGTGAGCCTATTAAGGTTAATACAGATTTCAGGTCTTATAGTGGATGATTAATCTGTAAGGAAAAATGTTTAGGCCTAGTCTTCACAAATTGTCACAGTCACTGTTTACATCTGGTTTTAACATCTGTCTTGAGTAATCGAGCATAAATGTTCAGCTGAGAGACAATGTTTACACCTGTGATTGGATTTCATTTGAAAGCTTCGACCTCTGAATTCATCCATATATGTATGTTGGTCATTGATGTCCTTTGCTTTTTTTTCCGAAATGCATTTCTGATTACTGTAAAAGGTGGATCTTAAACATTTAAGTGACCCCAATAGATGTTAATGGAGTCATAAATATGACTGTTTGCGCTTCAGACAAGTCTTGCACTACTCTTTTGCTTGTGGAATATCCTGTTTTACTTGTATATTTGACACATTTTGGAAGTAAAATGGATTACGTTTCATGTCGACTGTGAATCAAGCTTTGATAAAGTCCAGTTAAGCACACTTAATGTAAATGAAGTTAGGGAGATCTATGTAAAATCAGATTCCTTCTACAAGCATCCAAGTTAATTTTTCTTTAATCATTTCAAATACTCTTTGAATCTGTTAGATTCTTCTGTCCTCCACCATGTGTTTACCTGATGGGTTGTGGCTGGAAGAAAAAGAAGGAGCAGATGGAGAGAGAGGGCTGCTCGGAGCAGGAGTCTCAGCCTTGTGCCTTTATCGGCATTGGAAACAGTGAACAAGAAATGCAGCAGCTCAACTTGGAGGGCAAGGTGCTTTATGGATTTTATTATGGCAACACATGTATTGTAACTGCCTTTCTAAAATAATTTCAAGATCAGTGTTCTGGCATCACAACTTTTGTGCTTTGCTTCTGCAGAATTTTTGCACAGCAAAAACATTATACATTTCTGACTCGGACAAACGGAAGCACTTCATGCTGTCAGTGAAAATGTTCTACGGGAATAGCGCGGATATCGGTGTCTTCCTCAGCAAACGAATCAAGGTCATCTCCAAACCTTCCAAAAAGAAACAGTCGCTGAAGAATGCAGACCGTGAGTCAAAAGAATTTCTTATTTGTGTCACTAAATGAGTCTTAATTTGTCCAGAATTTTCACGCAGCTAATTTTCAATGTCTCTTATAGTATGCATAGCTTCTGGGACGAAGGTGGCTCTTTTTAACCGCTTGCGGTCCCAGACTGTCAGTACTCGGTACCTTCATGTGGAAGGGGGAAACTTCCATGCTAGTTCACAACAGTGGGGAGCCTTCTATATTCATCTATGTGAGTTATTCACCACAAATATACTATATTAAAAGTAGTGCCACACAGAGTTCATTACATCTATTGAAAGAATGTGTAGAAATTATGTATCAGTGTTTTCATTTTTAACATCTGCAGTTTTTCCTGTTTACTATGAATTGGTAATAACGTGTAATTCTGAATTCCAGTGGATGATGATGAGTCAGAGGGTGAAGAGTTTACAGTCAGAGATGGTTATATCCATTACGGTCAGACGGTGAAGCTGGTGTGCTCCGTGACAGGCATGGCTCTACCCCGACTGGTAAGCTATTATCCACTTGATTGTGCGATGATTAAAAGGGTTGGGCTAAGAAATTGTGTCCTGTTCAATCAAGGAGTGACATATACAGGGCTTAAAGTTCTCCGGCACCGTGCCGGATCTCAGGCGTGCGGCTGTGGGGAAAAAAGATAGTCGTCCTACATTTAAAAACACTTGTTGATATCACGTTCGAGTTCATGAGTTCGCCTACCAATGTACGAGAGGAACACAGCTTTCACTCAACCAAACTAACATTACTAGCCAATCAGAAGTTTTTGCTCTTATAAACCCGAGACGCGCATAATAGTATCCAATTGCAGAGTCACAGCTAATGAATTGAAAATAAGCTTGGGTCTCGAGCGCGACACATTGAAAAAGCTGTGAGGCGCAATGGTCAAAGATTTCCATCTAGCGCCATATTTACTTAGAAAAGCTATTAAAAAAGCAGCGGAGCTTTGTAAACAGCTCGGAGTAATCATGTCATCTCCATAAGAACGATATGATTGCCAGAATGCATTTACCTGTATTTTTGAAAAGTCCTGTTCACACATGATCTCTTAATGGTAATTTACCAGTAAAGACTGTATGTGTAAAAGGGGCTAAACTCTTCCTCTGCATGTGTGTTGAGTTTGGGTTGCTTAGCGTTAATCTGGGAAAACTCTCTTGATTTGTAACGTAAATCATTTAAACCTATGCCAACACAGGAGAATACATCAACATATTTCTAAATATGCCATGTAATGTACATCGCGATTTCAAAATAAACGTTTCTGACTTTGCATGTGGCCAAATATTAAAATTAAATGGATTTCATGTTGAAATACATGAAACATCACTAGGCCGTTGGCGCCCTCTGCAGGTATTTGTTATAATATAGGCATATTACATTATGTATTTAACAGTGTTGTTCAGTAAAACCATTTACTTGGTTTTGATACTTTATTTGAGGCCAATTATTATTGCCTCATCGTTACTTTATATATAAATATAGTCATATTAAAACCTGTTTTTCATTTAGTTCTATTTGTATTACTAAAAAACATCAGATTACTCGCTTGTCAAAATAATCAGTAGATTACTTGATTAGCAAAATAATCATTAGTTAAGCCCTAGATTAGTTAAAACATTTCAAAATACAACTGCATTGTTTTACTTTTTGTGATTAAAAGACAAATATTTTGTCATTTAAAAATTCTTAAAGTATTAAAACATTGTCTCGTTCTAGTGAACCAAGTATCTGCATTTTGTCTCACCTTTTGAGCTAAGTGTATCGTCACACCCCTAGTGTCTGAGTGTGATAAAGCTCATAATTGTCCAAGTGTATGATATAGCTTTCATTCTTCAGGTCAATCATATATTCATGAAAAAAAATCAGTTTGAATAAGCAAAGCGATAACTTTGCCATAGTATCCTTTCAAATGTTAAAGTTGCCACAGTCATTGCATTCTTTGCATGTGCTGCACTTTATTTGTACCATTTTGTTTTATTAGTTTATTTATTAGAATTTGAAAGATAATAACAATATTGATTGATAAGTGAGATTTGATTTTAGTCCTTGAAAACCAAAAAATTAGTGCAAGTCCTTGAACGTCCTGGAATTTTATTTTGCAGTATCTGTATGAACACTGCTGAAGTTACCAGTTCTTGGACCATTTTAATGTTTCTGTTGTTGTTAATTGAACTGAAGTTTTCTGTAGTAAACTGTCTTTGTATATTTCCTATTTTATATTCATTTCCTAGTATTTAATTTACCATTATTTCTTTTGAACAAA